GTTCTTATCTGCAAATTAGCCCTGGATGGCTCCCCATGTGCTGAGCATACAGAGCTTGACAATGAGTGATTGTGGTGTTTCTCCTATGAGGTCACCACTTCCTACTGGTAGGTCATGTTTACGGAATGGATTATTGACTTCCGGGCTTTGTCATTATCTCTGTGACTGAATTCATCCATCCATGCATAGCCATATGTGATGAGATTGCTAGCTGATCCTGGGGCTATCGATTGTGACTGGTTTGTATGTGGAAATGGAGCCTGTGACCTTCACCTTCGTCACCACCCCGAATCCCATGAATGAATTGTCCTATCAGTGGATGGCTTTAAACCAAATCACATGTGATCTACTCCCAAACAAAAGGACAAGCAGCAGTAACAGCCACCTACCAAAGTGCACATAGACAAAACCAGTGCAGTTCTTAAGATTCTTTGGTTTTTCCCAATACTTTGAAAGCTTGCATGTGCAATCTTTACCTCTACTATAGATTATCATGGTAAACGGAGAAAAGAATAAAATATTATTTCCCTTTCTTGCCTTAGTAGCTAAATTTTTACGTGCAATAAATTTAAAACCAGAGCAGAGCAAGCCTGTCCTGCAAGGACTCCAAACTCTACGTGTCCCATTGGAACTCATTATCTCTATTGACCCCATGCTCCACCCATGTCTAACACAGATATACCACCTGCCCCATTCTAGAGTTCCCTTATATTAATGTCATCACCAGATATTTGAGAGGTGCCCTAAACTCTTCTTTCTCAAAAACATGTCTTTAATCAATTTATTTCCCTTTTATCACTGTTATTGCTGCGTTAGTTAAGTTCTTCATTTCTTTCCTGGACCATTGCAATAACTTCCTTCTAGTCTCTCTTCTCTCTAATTCATCATCCTCATCTACTTCTAGGATTACATTCTAAAAACATGAATTTGAGGCTGGCGCGGTGGCTCACGTCTGTAATCCCAGCACTTTGGGAGGCTGAGGCGGGTGGATCGCCTGAGGTCGGGAATTCGAGACCAGCCTGGCCAACATTGTGAAACCCTGTCTCTACTAAAAATTGCAAAAAAGTAGCCAGGCATGGTGGTAGATGCCTGTAATCTCAGCTACTCAGGAGGCTGAGGCAGGAGAATCGCTTGAACTTGGGAGGCGGAGGTTGCAGTGAGCCAAGATCACACCATTGCACCCCAGCCTGGGCAACGAGAGCGAAATTCCATCTCAAAAAACAAAAAGCATGAATTTGATTATGTCTCTTCCTTCATTCAAATATTTGCTATGGCTTCCATGGCCTATGGGAATCAGGCCCGAATTCCAGCCAACTTGACTCCTGTGTTCTCCTCCCTTGTCATGTCCTGATACTCCTCTTCAGATAGTCCTTGTACATGGCCACTTGCTGTTTCCAGAAAGTTCTAGGCTCCAGAAGATAGTGTGTCTTTGTCTATGATGTTCTCTTGGCCTAGAATGCTTTTCTCATCTCCTTCAAGACTCAACGTTAAGACTCAACTCAAGACTCAACTCAAAGACTCAACTCAAATTACACAACTTTTGTCAAAACTTCCAAAACAGGCCTTAGCCTCCCTCTTCTCCATAATGTCTTTCCTCTAGTTTCCCAAAGGCTTGAGATACACCTTTATTATAGCACTTAGTACATTTATTTATTTATTTATTTATTTATTTATTTATTTATTTTTTGAGACGGAGTTTCGCTCTTGTTACCCAGGCTGGAGTGCAATGGCGCGATCTCGGCTCACCGCAACCTCCGCCTCCTGGGTTCAGGCAATTCTCCTGCCCCAGCTACTCAGGAGGCTGAGGCAGGAGAATTGCCTGAACCCAGGAGGCGGAGGTTGCGGTGAGCCTCCTGAGTAGCTGGGATTACAGGCATGCGCCACCATGCCCAGCTAATTTTTTGTATTTTTAGTAGAGACGGGGTTTCACCATGTTGACCAGGATGGTCTCGATCTCTTGACCTCGTGATCCACCCGCCTCGGCCTCCCAAAGTGCTGGGATTACAGGCTTGAGCCACCGCGCCCGGCCCCAGTACATTTATAATTAGTTGCTTACAGGTGTTTTTCTGTAGATAGATTACAAACTCCTCATGGAAAAGTTGTTTGCCATTTACTCATTTTAGCATAATGAAGATTTTTGATATTGATTGAATTAATGGATAAAAATGAGTAAACGTATATATTTCAGAATAAATATTTTAATAGGATGCTAACTTTTCTCTTTAACTCTTATGTCAAATAACAAAGACGAGGTCTACATTAAAGCCATAGACATGTAATACATCAATTCTCACATCAGAGCCCTAGTTACATGACTGTTATGAGGTATTAAGGAAAAATGTGTTTTAGATCATTACCAAAAAAAGATTTTTATTATTTTTAGATTGAATCAATAGATAAAATTGCAGGTATAAAAATAAATCAGACTTGTCAGAATCAAATTATTTTTAGTACATTTTAAAGAAGCTGTCTCAACATGTCATCTAACATGTGACTTTTTCCTGGGCAAATGAAGTATAAAAAGAACTGCTCAATTTGCAATTTTTCTCTGTTTTCTGCATCCTACGCTCCACAAAACAACCAAAATAGAGGGTTCAAAATTCGTTGGATTTGACATTTTCGTTGTTTACAATGTAAGTTAATGGGATGAATTTTGAAAAATGATTCACTTTTATTGTGTCTGTGTTTTTTTAACCAATCCTAAGACTATTCCGGGAGTAGCCTTGAAAAGAGGGCAGGCTCTGAGATTATGTGACTTTTTTTTTGCCATAAATTTTTGGCAGCCATAGAAGTTACACTGTAGAAGCAGTCACAGTGATCTTCCCATCATTTAATTTGCTAAAATCAGCTGACAATTTATAGCTTTGCCAAAATTGATGATGTGTGGCCTTTTTGCTGACAAGAAAGCAGCAGGGTCAACTACTCTCCTAATTACATCTGTGATGGGCTTGAGCAAGGTTAGGTCGGGGCGGCAGCCACTGCTCAAATGCCACTGAGCTCAGATGCCCTCGAGGGGCCCCTTGAACGAGTTTTCAAATTAGGACTCTGCAATATTGAATCCTCCAAATTGTGCAGTGGTTTTCAAACTTTTGATCCACATTAATAAACACATTTTCTATCACAATCTAGTACACACACACATACACACAAAAACACGTTAATTAAAAGTTTCATGAGGCTGGAGGCGGTGGCTCACGCCTGTAATCCCAGCACTTTGGGAGGCCGAGGCGGGCGGATCACGAGGTCAGGAGATCAAGACCATCCGGACCAAAATGGTGAAACCCCATCTCTACTAAAAAAAATACAAAAAAATTAGCTGGCCATGGCAGTGCACACCTGTAGTCCCAGCTACTCACGAGGCTGAAGCAGGAGAATTGCTTGAACCCAAGAGGCGGAGATTGCAGTGAGCCGAGATCTCGCCACTGCACTACAGCCTGGGCGATAGCGCCAGGCTGTGTCTCAAAAAAAAAAAAAAAGTTTTATGAAATAAATAATTTTACTATCTGCTTCATAGGCTGATATTTATGTTGACATATTCTAGCTTTGAACCTTGGACAGGTTACCTAACTATTTCTCCTTTTTTTTAAACCTACCTTTTACCCCAATTTTCTCATCTTTAAATTGGGGATGTTACTTCCTACTTCAGTACTTTTGCTATAATTACATGAAATTAACATAGAGTACTCAGCACTGTGCATGGCACAATAAATACTTTTCCTCTCTATATAAATAGTATTTGAATAATTTAGGTTTACCTTGAAACATAATTTTTGCTAGTTATTTAACAAATGTGTTTTTATGAGTTATTTTTTATGAGGCAATAACTCAAAGCCTGAAAAAGTTAAGGTCAGTTAAAGGCTTTAAACTTTGGAATAATTAAAATCATCCTAATTTTAGCTGTCTAAATGTACTCTTTCTGAATGTATTAGCTATTCTTTAAGCCACTTATTGAAGAAACTAATATTATTCATTACCAAAATTGAATACTTATTAAGTGCCTTAGGGTACAGGGACCAAAAAAAGAAGGCACTAATTGAGGTATATGAAACAGGGAATTGAAGTACTATGTAAAATAGGAAATCTAGCTTTTTAAAGTAGCATCCTTCAGATGCCATTCTAGATTGAATGTAGATTTAGAAGGATAGGTGCATTTCATGAAACGCAGGTTCAATATTTGGAAACAAACACACAAAAAGCAAAATTTTTGAGTGGCTTTATGAGTGATTTCCTTTGCATGAATCTGATACAAGTTGTAATCAGAGACTGAGGGACAAGAGCCACTTCCTACACCCCTGCCCCCACTTTGGGTAGAAAATAATTTGACCCGCTCCAAAAAGTAGAAAACTGTCTCTATCCTTAATTTTCATATGCTACATTAGAATTAAACACTAAAACCCAAGTTTGAAAATTATAGTAAAATGTACAGTATATCTTATTCTTTAAAAATAAACACAAGGTTTTCATTGGTATCATTATTACCTCTGAGCTAAATAAGAGTTGTACGGTGCTTTATCATTTTTAAAGTGTTTTCACATTTGAAATTTGATCCTTCTAACAATCCAGGGAGTATGGTGGATCAAACATTTTTATCATTTTCATTTCAAGATGCAGAAACTGAGTTTCAAAGAGATTAAATCATGTGGCTAAGATTTATATAGCAAGGAAATTTTAAAATTCAATACGGATGCTCTTTCAACTAGTATACCCTTAAAAGACAGAGCCTAATAAGCTTGTTACATCTTGCCATAACATGGGACCCACAGAGACACACACTGTAAGGATCCCTTCTATACCCTTTAGCCATTCAACAAGAGATGAAATAAATGCAGTAGCATCCCTCAGATGTGTGATTTGAGCATGGCTTGGAAAGTATTATCAGTCACCTGAGTTGTCTTCTACAGTGGCTCCTCTGTGAAAGCAGTTGACTGACTGATGGGTAGATTTGGCAAAACATTAAGTCAGCTGAGCAACAACAACAAAAAATAATTCTAAGTCCTTACCTTGTAAATGGAACCAGGCCAGCAAGCTGAAAACACTCCACCACATATTGTGCTGTGCTGCTGTGACGCTTTGTCAACTTCCTCTAGCTTCTGTGACAAATGGAGCTGAATAGTTTCTTTTGAAGGGGGAGAGGCAGTAGCTCTGTGACCTCATGTGTATCAACTCCTCCATCTGTCTGGAAGCCCCCTCTTAGTTAGCTGCCCCCAAAACACCTCCCGGTGGAACATATTGGGGACCACATGTATTTTCTTGATGGGAGAGAGGTGTGAGTGATGTGTTGATGACAAAAATTGTTTTACCACAAGTGGGTAGTATTGGTAAATCAACTAGTTGCAAGGTTTTTAGAGGGAGGAAGAGTGGGAGAGATACTGTAAAATGTCCCTGTCTAGTGATGTCATCCTTATTTTTACTTTTCTAGTTTATTAGATAATTAGACAATTTTTGCTCAATCTTTGTAAATATTTTCTTTCTAATGCTGACATCAATTTATAATTGTTATCAGGGATGAATTCATCTATTCATATATATACTCATTTTTGAAATCTATATATCTGTCTACCCACCTATCCACCCATCTTTTCATCTATCTACTCATAAATCTTTCCACTCGTCCATCCATCCATCCATCCATCCACCCATCCATCCATTTACCCATCTACCTATTCATCCATCCATCAACCCACTCACTCATGTATTACCTGCCCATTCATTCTCCCTCCATCTACCTCTCCATCCATCCATTTATCCATCCATCCATTCACCCACCCATCTATCCATCCATCAATCTGTCCATCACCTATTCATTCATTCACCCACCCATCTATATATACATGCATACACTCATCCAGCCACCCAACCACCCATCCCTCTACCCACCACCCGTTCATCCATCCATCCACCCACCCACTCATCCATTCACTCACCCATCTATCTATACATATGTACATCCATCCACCCATCATCCTTCTTTCTATCCACCCATTCATCTTTTCACCTATACAGCATCTAGTATGCACTTTTTTGAGACATGCTTAAATAAAAAACATAAATTCCTTTTTTTAGGAGAATATAATCTAGTTGGGGAGATAATGTACATATGAACAATTTTGGTATTTAATTTTCATTAATTGCACAAATTGAGATAGCTGTAATTTAATTTTTCCAGGGACACACAGAAAGGATTAGTAGGCTTATGTTTAGAAAACAAAGATCAGCCTGCAATGCCTGAAAATTTTAAAGAAAACACTACTTACTAGTTCTAATTGAAATTTGTGTTAATATTCTGATAAATTTGATGATAGTTTGGGTAGGAAAAATCTTGCCCATTAAAAATGTCTTTCAAATATTTTGTTGGCTAGGCACAGTGGCTCATGCCTGTAATCCTAGCATTTTGGGAAGCTGAGGTGTGAGGATCACTTGAGTCCAGGAGTTCAAGACCAACCTGGGCAACATAGCAAGCCCCCATCTCTGCAAAAAAATACAAAAATTAGCTAAGCACGGTAGCACATGCCTGTAGTTCCAGAAACTTGGGAGGCTAAGGTGGAAGGATTGCTTGAACCCAGAAGGTTGAGGCTTCAGAGAGCCGCGGTCACACCACTGCACTGCAATCTGGGTAAGAAAGTGAGACCTTGTATGAAAAAATAAAAATTAAAAAACAAAAAAACCAGAAATATTTTGTCTTTCAAATTTTTTTCAGTTTTTCATTTTTCTCCCCTTTGCTCCTAACATTCCATCCAGGAACTTCTAATTTTTATACTTGCCCTCAGCGGAAGAGAACAGTTTACCCAGGATCACACCTCCTCCATAGGGCATCCATGAGGGGATCTCAAGGTCCTTCTCCCTTGCCTTGAAGTGCAGCAACTCTGAAGTTCCCCACGGGATCAGAATCAGCTGAGATCTTTGCTGCAACTGCATCTCAGTCCAGCTTCTATCAAGTCCCCATCTTGCTTTCCTTCTTGTCACCAAGAGTACTTGCCTATAAACTTCTGCACACAAATCTCTGTCTCAGCGTGTTTTCCAGGAACCTGACCCACAAAAGCATTTGACATGGGCTGTCAATGAGTGAGTGAATGAAAGACTAAACGGACTCCTTATTTGAGATGTAAATGCTACTCTTTTTGCTCAGAAGTCTAGAAGTATGTTTGACTTACAGTTTCCCCAGAGCATTAAAGAAGAGCTTGCTTTAAATTGCACTTCGGGCAATGGTGAATGTTTCCTTTTCATCCATGGATGCCGTATTCACCTGGTTGAAAACCTTGGCAAATGTCACAATAGTCCACTGGACTCGGATATTAAGAACGGTTGGTGGGGGAAACGCTACAAGGTGGACTTGTGGAAGACATACACTGTGCTTTGCAGGGTCCCTGCTCTCATTGCCCCCACTTCAACCTACAGCTCATGGAGTATTCAACGGGAGAGGGCAGCAGATTGTGGTTGCTCACTGAGCTGGGGAGAAAAAGATGAGGCTGGAGGGTCTACCTGTTTTCTAATGGGAAAGAGTCTACTGACCACCTTGTATGGGGGAGACCTTACAACTGAGAGCTAGTTTGTCATTTTGATCTCCATTTTATGAAATCTTCATCTTCTGTTTCAGTACTAATAGGAAGTAACACTTGGTGGAGTGGCAGAGAGGGGACCGATTTTCGAGAAATAAACAAACATCCTCTCTATTTCTCATCCTTACCCTGTCAAGCTGAGTTTTGGGGATGAGGGAGGTGCAAATGTGAAAAGGAAGACATTTATTAAATAGGCTAAAGATGAACTGTTTTAAGGGTCAGAAAACAGGGGATTTCCCTATGTGTAGAAGCCACTGGGTTTTTTTGTTGTTGTTGCATTTACAAAGGGGCCTACACTTTCTTCTTGACCTTTCACAGCTCCTGTGAAGAATCGTGGCCTTTCCCAAGGTCAGACTGGCTGAGTAAGAGCAATGCCTTCTGGGATAAGGTTCCTCCATACCATGCCTGTAATCTATACATAGGATTGTATTTAGGAGTAGGGGAGGTTAATCTTTAACCTCCAGACCTGGTCAGGGGTGCCAGCCAGTTCTTCCACTGACCTCATCTGGCTGACTTTGAACTTTCATTTCCTTCTTTTCTCCTAAGCACAGGCTGAGGGAAGGGGGTCTTCCTCATTTTCCCCCTTTGAGAACCTCACTTATTTATTAGTGAGGGTTTTTACCCTCTTCCTCACTATCCTGGTCATTTGACGATACCGATTGATAATGATTCATGTAATATGCTTGAGCTGAAGATTTTGGTGAACTATGGTAGTGACTAAACCTTTAATTGTTCGAAGGAATACAGGCAATAAACAGGGGAACAACAAGCATGCACCTATTACCAGCACCACACCTATTATGAGGGTTTTAAATCCTCCTAAAGCTGGGAACCATTTTCCAAACATAGATCCGGGGTTAAACCCGTGCCAAACTTGTACCGGCACATGGGCTACCTTTGTCATATCTCTTAAAATATTTTCAACTGCCTGGCCTTGATTATCTATATGCAGGTAACAATTGGTTAAATTGAATTTTCTACAAACTCCTCCTTCGGCCACCAGCTAGCAGTCTAGTGCTAGTCGACTTTGGTAAATAGCATTTCTCATTTGAGTTTCTTGCCGGGCCAAAAGGGTTAAAGCTTTACCAGTTTTACTGGTGATTATTTTTAAGGCAGCTTATAATCAGATAATGAGGTTGATTGTATGAATTGGGGTCTGGTGTCCTCATGAGCTGTCCTGTACCCATGTAGCAGGCCCATAATATTGTATGATCCTTTTAGGAGGCCATCTGTCATCTTTCCAGTTTCCTATAGACACACTTCTTGGTTCCCAGGGAGATGTATAAATGGGGCAGTCTAACAATTTGCCTGTCTTGACGGGCAATAAGAAGAAAGAGGGTTTAATGGTGTCTATGACACAGCTGCTGGTCCATTTCTCAGGCAGCTGCACGTACGCTCTGTGCCCGCCTATCCAATACAACCCAGCTGGAGCTGTCCAGTCTCGATGAAGCTGGGATGATTCCAGGCATCTTGCAATTTAGGGAATTTAAGGAGAGGGTTTTTCTCTGTGTGGTTTGAATCCCACCAAGTGACTGTATCTACTGTTTCATTATAGGCAACTAGGCCTCCCTACCGGGACGGTGAAGTCTTTTTCCTCTCTTGCTAGGCAATACTGTCCAATAATTGAAACCTTTAGGACTCAGAAGCTGTTGGTTTGAATTTTTTTGGACCGAGGTTAGGTCTAGGACGGGATCAGAGGGCAGTAACTCTCAGGCTTCCCATGGCCACTGGTCTCCCATTGTAGATCCCCCTCACACATAACAAAAAGTAACATTAAGTGAGTGGGCTACATTTTCAGTTAACTGGAGGAACAACTTTTTCATCTTCTTCGGGAGTTCTGGGGCTGGTTCATTTACCTCTTCATAAAAAGTCTGACACTCAGGCACTGGACTGGAAGTACAGCTTTGGATCTACACTTAAATTAAGATATTTACCATGGGGTCCAGTTCCTTCCCATTAGTTCCTAGCTTTACATATTCTCCTTTTTTTTCCAGTGGGGATCCTGTGGATTTGTAATTATTACCCCTAATGGATTACAATGCCCAGTGGTACAGAGAACATTACTCCAGGGAATATTACTTTTTCTCTTTGTCAGATGGACGGGGTCATTTTTATTATTTTTCCAAGTGGCCCAGATAACACATGACTAGTAAGTACATTCACTACACCAATATGTTGTCTGGCACATATGCTTTTGCTCTACTGCATAACCCTGCTCCCACCCACGAGAGCCACACCCCTTACCCACAGCCGCACAAGCATCAGATTTTATGGCAACTGCTTAGGGATTCCTTTCTCCTCTGTTCTAGCAATGAACTTACTTGAGGTTTTCCATGCCACAGTTGTTAAATGTTTTACCTCAAAAATTGTGCATGTGGGGGCTCTGATGGGTCACAGCAGACATCTGGCTGCCCATCCCCTGGGCTGCACACTTTATATTGGGTGCCGTTACACAAACAAGTTCCCTTCTGAGTTCCCGTACATTCATAATAGCGTAGAACGAAAGGACGGTAGTGATTTTTTGTCCTACCTCAGTGACCTTATGTATACACTGAGAACAGTCTCCAAAGTCAGGTAAAGTTCTTACTACATGAGTCCCAATTTCAAGGAGAAGGAGCCCCAAGATGAGTTTCCTCATGCTTGGGCTGTGTGTGGACCAGTCAGCTTCTGGGATGTGGCTGGGGCAAGGCTTGCCGTC